TTTGTGATTATGTTGACTGTTATCCGTTCATTATGTTGCAGTTTAGTTGATTTTGGATTAATGGCAAGAACCACGGGGGGATTCATCTCAGCCTAGAGACTCCCTACAATAAGACAGCACCCCCATCCTGCACCCTGAGTTTCAACTCCCTGGGTCTTGCAATTCTTTACCTGTTCCTTATTTTTAATAAATAGAACATTAAGCTTCCCAGTGGTGGCTTTTGTTTGTGAAACGTATGCAGTGTCACATTGTTGTTGTAATCTTTAGTGACTTGAGCCAGCAGTTTTTTCTTCTCTCTGTCAGTGGAGAAACCAAACACTTTCACTCCTTTCTCCGAGCGACTGAAGCATCTCCATGACGCAGAGCAAACCATGGTGGGGACTATATGCAAGGACAACATGGAGAAAAGGGCACAGACAAACTGCCTGCCAGGCTTTTCGTGTTTGAGTTCGTTATAGCTTTATTTAATGAATGCATCGCAGTAAATATGTGCATAGTAAAAAGACAAGATATATAAAATATGTTTATATGTGTACAAACAAATATAAATAGATGTGTTTATTATGTCCTGTCCTGTCTGGATGTGATGTATTTTAATGTACGCTTTTTAATACAGATTTTTTCATATGCAAACAAATTTCTTTAGCTCCTTCTCCTTCTGTCCTTTCGGAAAGTCATAGAGTTTACAGTGATCATCAAGTCATTAAGATTATCTAGGCCTTGGAATTACTGAAACAACCATTAATTAAAGATGTATTTATGTTAATTATATGTATTCATGTTGAAAATTAATCTGATCTCAATTTTGAAACATTCCTTCCCTTCCCTCTCAGTATATCAATAAACATTATGACTGATCTTAACTACCATACAAGTTTAAGAACATAATATCTATAATACTGAAAAGTCAAAGCAATGAAACAATGAAAACACACTTTAAAACCATGTTCACTTTAACCCAACATGTCAGAAAAAGTACCAAAAGACGCAGTTTGTCGCTGAGTGTTTATGGGTTTAAATTGCCCGCAAAGAACTTCCTGGAACTATCTGAAGTCTACATGAATCACGTGACCATCAAGCATTTTGAACTTCCGTTGACGCGGCTCTCTCTCTATACGGCTCTGGAGCGGCTCATTGACTGTTTGCGCTCAATGACGTCATGGATGTATATTAGGCGCCGTTTTAAATTACTGTATTAAAAATGATCGTTCAAAAGTGCTTAAAAATATGACAGCGGTGTTAAAATGCTTTATGCTGTTCTGTGTTCAGAAAATAAATGTATTATTTTATATTAAAATGTTTAAACATTGATAAACATTTTTCTCAAGCGCTCCATCTTAACCCATTCATTTTGGACTCGCTCTGGAGCGCCCTCTAGCGTCTGAGAAACCCGGGAGACATTACAGAGTGGTAAATTCTCCCGGTCTATAAGTTTTTTGGCAGCGCGTCATTAGCATCTCCGTTGGCATGTAAATTCACAGCCAACAGTCAACAGCATAAAATCAGTTTTTTTCTGTAATTTTTACAAAAGTGAGACAGGACAGCCAATTCACCAGCATCTTGTTCGAATTCTCCCGTTCCACCTTAAATGGTGACGCCTGAGACGTTATAATAATAACTGCTACACCTTTTAAGGCGGGACGGCAAAATTCGAACAAGAAGGTGGCGAATAAGAAACTGACTTCGTCAGAGAACACAAGTAAGCGCTTCTCCGAGCCTCCATACTTAAGAGACTCCTTTTCCATAACATATGAAAACGTTTTCACCGACATGTGGATTCACACGGGAGTAACATAACCTGGGCTAATTTTATGGCTCGTTTACTGAAGGTAAAAGGCGCCAGAATCTGTACTGCGCAGTCGGTAAAAATGACTGACACTGTGCATTCAGACGGGACTACACTGAGAAACGCCACTAATAACTACCCGAACTCTTCATATAAAACAAACGGCGTCCGAATAGAGCTTCAGAGGACTGTTGGCTCATTCAGAAGACTTTCAGGAGGACAATCCTTGTCCAACACTGCCATCCACTGGCTGAGAAGAGTATTACACTATTAACACATACAGCACATAAAGCAACTTATGAAGCACATGTTATGCATTTTCTTATATTATGCTCTCCCCCTGAGGTCCACTCATAGTTCAAAGTTCATTTTTACATGGTCCTGGCTGAAATGTGCAGTAACTGCAGTCTTTACTACTTCAGCGTGAATAGGCAGGGTAAACTGCTGCAGGCTGAATAGGCAGTCATACATAAATGTGTTTGTGGTTGTGACATTACAACCATAATGAAGTCAAAGCAGGCTGATTTCTCCATATGGATTGTGTGGACTGACGAGTGAACAGTACAATTTAAAACTCACAATGTTTATAGAGTAGATAAAACTCATGTAAAAAAAAAAAAAAGTCATTTATATTCTATATAAATATAATTTACTCACCAACTGACCTTCAGTTGAAAAAATGATGCCAGCTGTTGCTTTGCTTTAATACTAGTCACTATTTCACATCTGTTTAAAGTTGGCTCCACCATCAATCCAGGAAATATGCAGCAGAAGAAGAAGAAAATAACATATTCATGATTTCAGGCTTCAATAGGCTATTAACATTAGAAACTGCCTCAGGAACCTTAGCAATCAAATGTGTATCCAGCTAGTCTTGATTTACACCAGTGGGCACCAGCCCTTCCTTTGGAGATCTACTTTTCCTACTGAGTTTAGTCCCAACCTGTATCCAACATGCTGCCCTCCAAAGGAATGGTTTGACAAAGATTTAAAGTACACAGTTTTTCCCCTCCACCTCTGATGCAGTCAATCAGCCAAGACATTTGGCCTAATTTTGCTTCTTTAGTTTAGCGCTGGAGCTACGTTGCTAACAAACACTTAAAGTCAATAGTCACCCAAAAATTTCATCTCACTCAAACCACAGCCAGGTCTTTATTATGGTTGTGCAGCCTTGCTGATGTTTATTTATGTTTACTTATGATGTAGCATCATTGAGGGTTTTATGTCATGTAATTAAAAACTCTGTATTGTTTGCTGTTACAATAAAGCATGAAAAACAACTGTCAAAAAAGTCAAAAATAAGTCAATGAAAGAAATTGCTGGTGTTCCAGTATTTCGCTACACATATGAGGTCAGTACACATATGATATCTCTCAGTGTGGCATCTAGGAATGACTAATTTGTTTGAGTTCCTTTGGTGGCCTGTAGCCTTTTGTCTGAGAGGAGGTAGCAGTCTCTAAAGACCGACTTGTACAGTTTTTTTTGGGCAAAATGCAAGTGTCTCTCAATAAGAGGGGGCGGTTGAAGTCCCTTGTGCATCTGGAAATGTTGTGTACCTTTGGCCTAGGATAATTCTGCTGACTCTTTTTTGAAGTTGTTCCAACTTTTTGTCTTGAGCTCTGGTAAGCGAGCCTGCCAGGAGCTGCATATTCCAAAACAGGCCTATATTAAAGGAGACCAATTCCAAATCAAGAATACCAGATTTCTTAAGGCTGTGAAGTGCAAACACCTACTTGTTAGCTGAAGACGACACCATGACTGTCCCAGCACAAGTCAACATGAATGATGATCCCCAAGACTTTTATAGCATGATGGGCTGCCAAGGTGTTATGATTGATAGACAAAGCTGGTAGTGCAGGAGGAAGCTTTAAATGCATTACATATAGGACCTATTACTTATTTGGGTTTAGTTTCATTATGTGGTCACTGACCCAGATTTCTAGGTCAGAGTCTGCAGAAGATTACAAGAAGTCCATGTCCAGGCCAGACTCATATTGTCCACATGGTTTCAGTGATTAGCTTCATCGAAAAGGGTACCAATAATTAGCGCTAAAAAATAGTGGGTCCAAGTAAAGTTCCCTGTGCAACTTTACATGTGGCTTCAGGCACAGACAAATATTTTATTTGCAATATCTTATGCAGTGTGACTTGTGTTGAATATATAAGAATACTGTTATTACACAGTCTACAGGCTTTAGTGTAGCTGAACGCAGCGGTTAGCCAGACAACACCTGTTTGTTAGCAATGTTAGCCTTGTTGCTCCAACACTAAACTAAAGAAGCAAAATTTGGACATCTAACATCTTGGATGATTAACTACATCTGGGTTAAGTGACAAATTGTGTACATTTAATAGATATGCCATATAAACTTTTCACATTCATGCCCACCAATTGACCTTTGTCGGAAAAAATTTATGACTTCATAGAAAGAGTTTGTTATATGGCAAAAATATAACATCACAATAGGTCAAGACAGTTTTGCAATACACAACATTCATCACAATATTTAATTGTCTGAGATTTGATAAGGTGGAACAATTTCCAAAATACTAATATTACTAATGGGGCGGCACGGTGGCACAGTGGGTAGCGCTGTCGCCTCACAGCAAGAAGAGCCTGGGTTCGATTCCTGGCCGGGCGACCGGGGTCCTTTCTCTGTGGAGTTTGCATGTTCTCCCGTGTCTGTGTGGGTTTCCTCTGGGTACTCCGGTTTCCTCCCACAGTCCAAAGACATGCAGTCAAGCTGATTGGACATGCTGAATTGCCCCTAGGTGTGAATATGTATGTCTGTCTGTCTGCCTGCCCTGCGATGGACTGGCGACCTGTCCAGGGTGTATCCTGCCTTCTGCCCAATGACAGCTGGGATAGGCTCCAGCACCCCACCGCAACCCAGAAGGATAAGCGGTTTAGATGATGTATGTAAAATTACTAATACAATATTCAATATTTCACATAATGCACTGTACAAAATCCAAATTAACAGGATAAATTATGCTTTTTGTAATGAAACATGCAGTTGGTCAGTGTTCTTTATGTGTTCATGCACACGAATGGTCAGAAAACCATAATGTGATGTGACAATTTATCACAGTAACTATATATGGGAAAGGGAAAAAATTATAAGAACTGACATTCAGATCAATTAATTTATGGTTTAAACAATTAGAAACAAATAATAAACCCAAAAGACTGACATAAACACAGAAACAAAAGTAGCTTGTCATAATGCCTTTTTATTCTTTATCTTATAGTTTAGAAATTCTTACGTTTCTTTGCAAAAATTCCCTTCTTTTAATTCATAGCCTGTGTTGGTGTCTATGCTTGTAATACAAATATGGTAAGAGAACACGAATAATTATTAATAATAAATTACTTAAGTACAAAAACAGTAGCAAAATGATTACTAGATCCACCTATCAGCCACATTTCTTGCACATTCTAATGAGGTTGCAAATACAGCGCATTGACATTCTGTCCTCAAACCTTAAAAAAAAAAAAAGTTAGAAAAAAAAATGGGTTTAAAAAAAAGAAAAAAGTTTTATTCCCAAGATAAAATGTGTCCCTTGAGCGAAGTAGAAGAGAACAATATACACTCACATCACGTACGGTAAACCTCACAAAGAAAAAAAAAAACAGCCGCTGTTATGAATAGCTCTTCTGGCTCGAAATGCGGTTAAAATCGGCAAACTTTACATTCAAACACTTGAAAAAAGCCTTTTCAAAGTCAATACAAGAGACACTTTTACACAGTTTTACAAGCCAACATAAAGTGACAATGCTTTCAAGACGAACAAAAATACATCAAGATTCTTGGTTGGTCAATTATTGTACAAGAAAGAAAAATGTAATGGTAACTTGTGCACTGACAAAGCATTTGTTACGCTGCTTCTTTCACTGACAAATTCAAGAATTACTCAGCAAACGTCTATGTGGGCACCTTTCTGAGATATGTAATGTTTAAAGAAACTGCTGAAGATGCAGAACTATTGCTTAACTGCCCTAGATATGTAAGTGAACAAAAGAACTGAAATATGAGTTGATCCTGCCCTACAAGGCCAGTGTATCAAGAAGTAGAGTTAGTATTTAGTTCTTTGAGCAAAAGCTGCACTAGAACTCTGCAAAGCCCAGCACAGAAAACGGTCATTTCTTCCTTGGGGATAGTTTGACTAGAAATAGAATAGAATAATTCCTCTATTGTCATTGTACAATTAGCCTACAACAAAACCGCTTCTCTAAAGTGGTTAACAATGGATGACATTTAGCAGTGCAAAATCTTGATCTTGTGTCAAATGTTGCATGGCTATAGTAGTTACGCTAGCATTTTGGTACAACAATCCCTTGGTGTATAATCCACCATCAATCCAGCGAACATACAGTAGAAAAAGAGGGAAAAAGTGGCAACACTCATTTTGGGCTTTGATAAGCTGTTAACAATGCAAGACCCCACCAAACCTACAGGCAGTGGAAGTTTTCTCATGTCGGGGGCAGCAGTGGCTGGAAACTGCCTAGCAATCAAATGTAACTTCTTGCTATGTTGTTTTATACCAGTGGTCACCAGTCCTCCTCTCGCAGATCTACTTTTCCCACTGAGGTTAGGCCCAATCCACTGCTCTCCAAAGTAATGGTTTGGCAACAAACAAATGGACTTGATTTTCCACTATCCCCCATGTAGTTCATCAACCTAGACATGTTTGGTGTCCACATTTTGCTCATTTAGTTTAGCAGTGCAATTAAGAGACTAGCATTAGAAGTCAAAAGTCACCCAAATTTTTTCTCTAACTACATCTCCAAAACATCTCTCAACGCGATTAAACCGCATCCAGGTTTTCATTAAGGTTGCGCATACTTGTCAGTGTAGTTTAGGACACAGTATGACTTGAACTGTGAACTACGGTTCTGCACGCCTGTGGGATTCCCACTGGGCCTGCCACAATATCTTGTGGCGCAGGACTAATTTTCAGTGCGCAGGTGAGGCAGGTGATGGATGAAACACTCATGAAGAGAGATCCCGCAAATGAATGAAAAGCCTAAATAAAGTTAAACAATCACTAAAGTGTTGCGAACTGTGAACTCCAAAAAAAAAAGCTATACTGTGCAAGTTTTTGATTTGGAGACCTCTCTGGTGAAAATTTGTAATTGCAGGCAACGTGTGGAAGAAGATTTTGTAACGTCCGTTGTGCATTGGACCCCTTCACCAAGCTCACGGATCTGATGATTGCAAGCGCGTAAGAGCATTCAAGAAGAACTCAGGACCCAAGGACCTTCTGAGGATGCGAGTGAATTCAGTATAATGTTCATTTTACATTTGAGACCTGAACATTGAGTCGGTCGATTGTTTGTGTTATTTTAATAAATAAAGACGTATGACGTGGTCCAAAAATCTCCCACAGAATCCAAACAGACCCTGAATTTAAATGATTATTTCTGGTTTTACAGGGTAATTCGAAGCAGCACACAGACACCACATTTTAGCTACTTCTTTCCATTGTTTTTCCATTCAGGTGTCGCAGATGGTGTTTTGAACTAGACACAGCAGGAAGGTGGATCTCCAGGATCAGGGTTGGTGACCGCTGTTTTAGACATGTGGATTGGGTTAAAACCTGAATCTGCTATGATTTCTCAAGTGAGATGGTATCTGATGTGCAAATAGAATCTAGAACTGCATGAATGTCAGCAATAATCCCTTGCCTTCTCAGCAGTGGAACATGTCTGTTGCTCTCTTATTCCCCTCTTACTAGCTATTAGCACAAATGGTTGACCATGGTTTCTAGCAAAATGGATGCATTTAGTTATTTCTGATTGGTGTCATTTGCATTTGGGCAGTAAACAACAGCTATTTAACTCGTAGCTAAATGACCTTTCTGCTGGCTAATGCTAAATTGTGCAGTAGGTCAAAGCAATGCTGCTGTCTTTAAGCTGAGACTAATTTCCTGGTTCTTCTTTTAATTTGGTTCTCAAGCATGCGAGCAACTTCCCAAGCGTTTCATTAATGCAAAATCTATGACTGAGAAGTTGGGTATGAAATCAACAAGATGGCTTTGAGTAGAGCAGTGAATTCTGCACAAATTTGCACTCCTGAGCAGATGCTATTGGAATGAATGGAAACGTTCAGTCCGCCTCTGTACGTAGAACAAGTCCACCTGTGCACTTTTTGACTCAAAGGCAGCCAGTGATTCCAGTACAGGTCTATGAGCTGCTCCTCGGAACAGACAGAAGCTCCAACACTCCACTTTAACAAATCCTTGTGCTGTTAAAGGATTCATTTACAATAACGGGACGAACATGAGGTACAAATTCGTACAAAAACAAGGCCTCATTAGGGATGTCTTTGAGTTGTTCTCTGAGAGAGCCAGCAGTCAAACAGCGCTTGGTTCCTGGACTACCTTCCAGGGATTCAACAGCCAGTTTAGGAGATTAGAAGACTGGCAATTGAACAATACATCATACGTATTTCTTTAGTTAAAAAACGGCCAACTGGACCTTTATAACACTTTACCACTCACAACACTGACTGGACAGTGAGACCAAGGCTCGTTAAACAGAAATCACCTAAAGACAATTCATCCTCTGAACTGGCTGGATTTAAGTGAAACTTGCCAAAACCCTGGTATATATATATGTATATATATTCAACCTGTGTGCAGTAGTATTACATCAGAGGGGCAGTGCATGTTTACATGTGTGTGTTAACAGTCCGAGCCATCATCGCATTGTTGACGTGCCCCGGAGAGAGACAGAAACAGTCAGAGTAGGACACAGTGAAGCCTGGCCGAGCCTGATGGTCTGTCTGCTCGCCATTTTGTTTTCTTCTTCTTCTTTTGAGCCCTCTCTGGAACCTGTTGCCTGTACAAATTAAAATACCAAGAGAAAGACGGGAACAAAGAGATATATACAATCATATGCAAAGATTTCAGTACCCCCGGTCAAATTACATATTTTGTTGCTTTTACTGTAAAACACACTTCTGCACATTTTAATGCACAATTGCTATTTATTTGCTGAGTTAAACATACTGGAAAAAATAAAACATAAAGTATGAAATATGAAACCTTTTTCAGTATGTTAAATATATGCAAATGAATAGCAATTGCCTTAAAATGTGTATGCATGTGTTCTCTGTAGAGGATATGTTCTTATTTTTACTTAGAAAATAGAAAAAAAACATGTAATTTGACTATACAGCTGTATATAGTGTCACTGTTTCAACTTTTTAGAAAATTTTAAAGACATTTTAGAAAATCTCACTCTTTTTCTAACTCTTTTTCACAGTCGCCATAAAATGAAGTTTCCACCTGTTTTAGAGAAAGTCCCTCAGTTGATTTATGCTTTTTTTTTTTAATAACTCTGATGGAATATATTTTGATGGAAATGTGTGTGATTTACAAAACCAGAAACTAACTAAATTTTTTTGTTTAAATGAATTTTTTTTCTTTAATTGTGGCTCATCCTTCCTCTTTTAGCCCAGATTGCTTGCTAGCAGCTCAACAAATGTTCACACAGCAGGTAAAAGTGGCCCAAGTCTGATCTTTTTCTTCATATGTGACAAAGATGTGTCATTTGTGTGGCAGTTTGAACAACAAAAATATATCTGACATTTTCAATTCTGATTTGAGCTGCATTCATATGTGGTACTGAAATCCGATCCGTATCCAATATGCAGCAATGCAACTCAATCTAAACAGCCAGATCGGAATTCATGCGACTTTTACGTCAATCCAACTCGACATTCATCATAATTTCGCACTGCTGAGACCTCATAAACATTTACGTTGATGCTTCTGTGCCAAAAATTTAGAAGGCACTTAACACAACCGCTCCATGTTCAAAGAGCTTTTGAAAGAAATGGCCGAATGCGGCTGTAGGAGAACGAGGCTGCAGCGTTAAAGAACAGGTAAAAGTGTGAAAGCAAAGTTTAAAGAATCTGACACAAACCAAAGAAGTGACTGAATAACGTACCCTTTTTACAGCAAGCTCGAACACAATCTGGGTGATGAGCCCAGCTGTCAGTCAGTGAAGCTTTATTATCGCTCCTGTGATGCTGATGAAGAAGAAATTGAAACTGCTGGGAGCGACTGGCGTTCGTTCATAGTCCTGATTATTTACCTCTGGATGAGCCACGAGAAGCAACGTGAAGCATTGTTCTTTCGTGCATGTGGGTCAGTTTAGGAGCATGATCTGTTCAGACTGATGTCACATATAGATCACGTTTAAAAGATATTGTGAACAGCCACACAAAAAAATCAGATTTGCTGAGAAAATCAGATTTGGGCCACTTTTACCTGCTGTGTAAACGTAGCCAAAGAGTCAAAACATTTCACGCAGAGAGACAACAGTGTCCTAGTTAATCTGATAAGAGTTGAAAAATGTTTTAATTGATTATATTAATTAAAAATATCAGATTTCCATTCTGCAAGAGAACTGGCCTGCAGAAAGAGATTCTTCCAAAATTTGCATACTCAGATCAGTTTGATCAAACCCAAAATTTACTCACCAAAGCATCACTGGACATCTATAATTTTTTTGACCAATTCATAACAAAGAAAATTATGTCATCTCACCAAAAAAGTGTTCGGCTGCTCACAAGTAAAAAACGTGTCCAAACATTTACTTTAATTGCAATTTAATTTACCCAAACCATCTACCAAGCTCTCCAAAGTGAATGCAGTTTGCTTGAGCACTGTCCTTAGTCTTAGAATTTACAGCCAATGGTCAACACTGCTGCATAAAATAAACTTTTTTCCTGTTATTTTATATGTTTTAATGTTCAGAGTTGTACACTTAAGGTTGGACAATACAAATCGGCTTGACTTTTATTGTCACTCGCAATAGAAGTAAATACTTCTTCTTGCCTCCAAATAGCTCTACCACAGGGTATGATGGAATATTTACCAACAGGGCTGTAATAACTTGCACACAGTACTTTAGAATACTACTTTAGAGTATATTTGTCGGCCTTTATTATATTAAACAAAAAAATCTTTGTTTTCTTTATGTTTCCTGCATCTCTTTCTGTAGTATCCTTACGTTTCTAATTTCCTTGTGTTTTCCTTTAATGTCCAATTTATTGTATTGTCTATTTCAACTACATTATTTGATCATATTCTGTTGTATCATCTTTTAACTCATATTGTGATGTACCTGTCAATACCAGCCTGCAAATCACTGAATCACTGTGACCCAATTTAAACTTCACTCACCGAATCACTCTCACAAGCTCATGGAATGCTTTATCAACATTCATGGGAGGATCCTTTGCACTTGTTTCAATATACGTAATCTGTCAAAAGAAGTCCAAGAAACATTTATAAACCCAACTTATTCAAAACCCACATAATCTACCAAAAAACAAAGATGAGTTACTTACGCTGTGCTTCATTGCCATCTCTCTTCCCTGTTCACTCGTGATTTTCCGCAAGTGCACCAGGTCCACTTTATTAGCAACAAGGACCATTGGGAACGACTCCCTATAAACAAACACACACGGAATAAACACATAAAGCACTGTTGTATTAAAAAATTATTAAACCTTACTGTGCTTTTAATTTACCTCATTATAATTAGCACAGCTCCATATAAGCGAACTACATTACACTAACCTAATTACTGCCAAAAGAGTTTAATTGTGTAGTGAATTATTTTATAAGTGGAACTGATGTTAATGCGTGTGAGTGAGTGAAAGTGTTTTCAGACCTATCTTTAACTCTCAGTATAAGCTGATGGAAGCGGTCCACATGCTCAAAGCTGGCTTTGTCCGTCACTGAAAAGACTATGAGGAAGCCGTCTCCAGTACGCATGTACTGTTCTCTCATAGCGCTGAACTCCTCCTGACCTGCTGTGTCCAGAACTGCACACAAACACACAGATTATCCTCAGAGTAAGCATGGACACACCCACACACATAATAACAATAATGCTTAAAATAAGCACACACAAACACAAAAAAGGCCAAGAATACAAACATATATACTTATGAACCAATTATTTATGTTCAAATCTAAAAAAAAGAAATTAATGTATACTGTAAACTGTAGAGCTTTAAGAGCTCATTTAATACAATTTACTGACTTTTGAGAGGTAACAGTGCAATAAGAGCATAAAGTAATTGTAATAATTCAAGATTATAAATAATAATAAATAGTTCTGGATTAATAAGAGATAAAATTCTGAATTCAAAATAATTTTGCTGGCATGGTATAATTTAATATAAATTATTTCTCACTTGTAGCTCACCGAAACAAGTACAGATAGAGGATTATAAACTTTTAATCAATGCAGAATGGATACAGAATGTAAATTAATTGTAAATGTGTAGCTTACTATGTAATTTAAAAATGCTATTTGAATATAATTCATCCTCTCAGGGTTAATAATGATGAATATATCTTTGTGTAGTAGAACATTTATAAATACATAAAGCTAAATTCTATGCTACCCACATTTCACGTTGGAACTCAAATCACAGTGAAGATCAAATATTAAGGCAGAAAGCTTGACAAAAGAACTATCTAAATAGATAATTACAGCATATTATTTATCTTTTTATTTACTACTTATTTGCAGAATTCTTGAAATGCTGAAAAATAAATCCACATTGTTTACCTTATTGTAAATTATATTAAAAAAACTGTAAATATCACAAGCTGTAAATATCCAAACTTCTAAGTGCTCACATACATGTATGCAATACTGATACTGAATGATACACCAAAATTTCAGCCACCAAACCATTAGAGAAAAAAGGCAAAAATTTTGGAAAAAACAAATTAAACAGAATTATAGAAGCAGCAGATCAACAATGGAAAAAAATGACTGTGCACAACCATTTCAGGGTTTCTATGAGGGACTGGGTTGAGCAATGCGGCAAAAACATCATATCACGATACACGACACATAGCAAAATATTTTGACACAGACACAACGCACTAGTAGTGCCACAAAAACAGCCATCAAAAATATTTTAGCACTTTAGACACTGCTCTTCACTAAATCTAATTAAAAGTAATTATGCTCCCTTTTTAATGAAACACACAGTTGTTCAGTGTTCTTTAGGTACAGACGGTATCCATGATATACTCTACGAAAGTGCATCTTTTATCACAATAACAAAACTATATAGCCCACCTCTGCGAGGGACATTACATAAGAGATTTACAATAACTCTTTGTGTTGAGTATCAAGAGGGGGTGCAACACCTCAGAACTTCTACATTACAGTTCTGATACCACTTGAAAACATGACATCTCACTCAATGCACACAATACAGCAAAACAACAGAGGCAGAAAGGAACATCTCCGCTAGCATGTCAACACCATCTGTAGCCACAGATTTTGAAATGACAAAATAATTAACGAATAACAGCACTGTAGTACAACTACTAAATAATGTAATGCATAATCTTGAATGACCAGCCGTTATAGAGGACGTTGGATTTTGTGCCATGTTCTGTTGCTTACATACTGTAATAATTTTAGTTTATTTTTGTTATTTTTTTTATTTATTGTCAGCTCAGTTTTGTCTGATTAAAATGTATTATTTTGTATTTATTACCTTGTAGTTTTTATGTTTGTTAAGTTGATTCAAAAGCATAAATAAAATAGCAAATCTTGATTTTTGTATTTGACCAAGAGTGTCTTGATTTTCGGTTTCAGCCAGGAATTATATGTCGGTGCACTAACTAAAAGTTTTGCTCTAACTAACCAAAACCTTGAATGTCAGCTGGTAATGATAACTATTGGATACCTTTTCTTTAAAAAACTTCTTAGCTTTAAAATACTCAAATACTCCTTTTATGAAGAAATTCACAGCCAACAACACGACTTATTAAAAAAAAGTTTAATTATTTCCCAAAAATACAGATATTTTATATTTGCACAAGTTAACAAAGCAGTTTAAATATCTGCAGAACTATTCTAAAGTGGAAAATAAAAACTTATAATATCTGCATTCCCTGTGTTTCAACTGTAGCCCCCTTTCTGGTAAACATACACGTGTAATTATTACACTTCAAGTCTATTTTCTGCAGAAAATGCAGTGTGGAAAATCCAGCTGCATGTTTCACTTGTGAAAACAAAAAATGTTAAGGGTGTAATGATTTCAATATGTATCGCAAAACAGAACTCAAAACAATATATCAAAATGTTTAAAAAGTATCAATGTTACATCACTTATGTCCTCTCATTATGGTCTCTCATTTATCATTTTTTGTGGAAAACACCTCAAGGATCAAAACTAGGCATCAGGGTGCAGCCTATCAGAGTAAAGTGTGCAGGGAGGGTGGGGCTTTTGCAGCAGACACACCCACACTCAAATAACATTCTTATAAATCAATTATAAACACTAAGGGCTGTGATTTTTGGGGATTACTTTAATATAGGACAGCACAAATTAAAATAACTGTTACTAAGCTGAGCCAAACTAATGTGTGGTATACAATTAGACCTCTTTAAACATTTTAACATAGAAAATACTGAAAATCAAATTGAATTTTAACCTGTTGTAACGTATTGTAATGTATTGCAATTATTATTAAACCATCATATATCACTTATTTTATAAATCAAAATCTGAATTTTGTGTACCATTACAGTATTACAAATAAACTGGCAGCCAAATCTGAGAATGATAGTGACTTTCATCCTGATAATGATTCTGAGTATTGGAAAAGGGCCATTCATATCTAGTGTACATAAACATGAAGACATACTGGTTCAGTCAAAATACACTTAAGACACTGGATTCAAAGGACCTGCTTAATCCTTAAAACTACAAGAGCCACAGATCCTCACTCTCATAACTACATAACTTGTCATTTTTACAGTAATAACTGAATATTTTAAAGTAGTTACTGAATAATAAGCAATAAATTGAATTACCATCCAGAATGGCCCACTGTCCATCTATTTCAGTATGCTTGAGGTAGGAGTCCTCGATGGTGGGGTCATAGTCTGGGACAAAGATCTTCTGAAAGAACTGGATGGTGAGTGCGCTCTTACCCACGCCTCCATCCCCCACCACCACCAACTTATAGGTGGGCAGGTTGTCCCCGGGAACAGCGCTGGTCGCCATGGAGACTGCTACACCTGCAGCATAGAGGGGAGAATGGTGTTAGGTTGGTTGCTGTTGCTCAGTCAGTCACCCACATACACACACAAACATACTTCCTGAAAAAAAATGAATGAAGAAAGACTATTAGTGCGGGAATGACAGACCCTAACACTTTAAAGATGGCCAGTAAATGGATATGAAGGCACTATAATGGTGCAGCTTTAGAGAACAAGTAACCACTCAGGAATAACTGCTGACCAAGGCTTTTTCAGGCATCCAAAGAAAAGCATTATGCACTCACACATATGGGAGATATTGATTCAACCAGACACATGGATTACAGTGCAGCCTGATCAAGGATATGTACAACCATTTTAAAGCTTGCAATATATTAAATTAAATAAACAGTTTATCAAACCAATGTAATTTTGCATATTTGCTTGAGACTAGAAGGCTGTTTCTGACGGTGTGTGTCCAAAGCTTCAGAAAGGTAAAATAATGTAAGTATATTAGACCAATTGTGTCCAATCTTATCCGCAAAAGGCCGGTGTGGCTGTGGGTTTTTATTCCAAATGAGCAGGAGCTCACCTTCAAACAACTAAGCACGTGTGCAACCAGCTTTGTTGGAACGAAAACCTGTAGACACACCGGTCCTTTGCAGATAAGAATGGACACCCTTGGTCTAAACCAAATACAAACACACATACTTAAGGCAAGAGTACACAGCTGAAAATTTAAATATAATTCTTTAATTGTGAAGAATTACACCGTGTTATCCCAATAAAACAATTCAAAATTAATGTGCATAATAAAAAAAATGTTTTTCTTTCGAGATAACACCACTTTTTCTTTTGTGATATGACACCGAAACCCTAAAATTTGAATATAGTCACTGATACCAATCTGACTACTAAGCTAACTGAAATATTGCACTGAAAATGGACATCTAAAAGTACCATTCTCAAACTCTCTCAAGACTCTTCTGCCCTACAGAAAAAATTATATATCCATATTTATGCTACTTGAAAAAAAAAAAAGAATGGTAGTTCTACTATAATACTTGGCTAGCTATTTATTCTAATGTTAATGTTAGCCTACTGTTAGGTCACATATTTCACTTACAAGACATTCTGTGATATTTCAGGCTAGATTTCTTACAGATTTGGACTGGATTTGTTCTTTTTTCTGAAGTCGGATCCAGCATATGACTAATACCACTATTGGTTATTGACTTCGTGCCATCACTATTGATCATATCCCTGGCTATTTGATTGCATTCAAGAACTTGCCCTGATTCAGCATGTGATTTTATCTCAATGGTGAGGCAGAAGCCTACAGAAATACAGTGTGGTAACAGATCCAGATCCTAGTTACAGTAATAATAGTTAAAAGCAGATCTGAGAGGAACTGTGTATTTGGGTCTGGAGCCTAGCCTTTCCTGTGAAGGAAATCCAGAGTTTCCTCTTTCCCTCTGTATCCCTGGTGATCTGATCCTTGCTTTATCATTGAATTAAGCAACACTTTGTTTAATGCATACACATTGGGTATTCCTGATCTTCTATTAGTCACATGATTTGTCTTGACACTGGTACATCAGCTTCCACAACTGAAGGTGAAGGAAAAGAATTTTCAGCTTTGCAGGCTGCCACAAATAAGTACTTACTAATAAACAGTGTATGCTTTTCCTTAATGATCCTCCTTATTTTCTACTTACAAGGCTCTGATGGGCCAACAGCTGCCCAAGACTGTTTGATATTCCAGTCTAGTGAATACAGCTGGAATTCAATATCCCAACAAATTCCAGAGTGACTGAGTAAGCAGTGTAGTATAGCACATTTTGGCCCGTGCTGCACATATCCTTTACAATAAATACGACCACAAAGACAATGGCTGCCAAGGCAATGAACACAATGTGCCTGACACCATTTAAAGTGGATATTCTGATGCAGCGATGGCTTGTGAACAGGATTCAGCTGAGATTTCACCTTGTAGCTGGCCGAAGCCAAACCGATACTGTAGGCTAACAGATAGTGAAGGTTTGGCTCCCAGCAAGTGCACAAAGCAGTGAGAAGTGACCTCACCTAGTCTACTCACACCGAGTCCGACGATATCAGTACGCTGGGTTACACCACAGCATGCATATTTCTGAGGTGAACAGTTCTGTTTAAACTGGTCCACGGCCAGCTTTATGACTCCATACTACAGCCATGTTTAAGTTTGACTTATTTCTTTCCCACTTCTAGTCAGGTCCACCACATAAAATCCTGTTTCCACGCATTTTTTGGGCTCTTTTATAAGCAGCTCCGTTTTCAGGTCACTTTGTTCGAGTCAAGAAAAAGGCTGTGGAGCGTTTCCTTCAGAAAGCAACAGCGTCTCCCTCACCAAGAGAGGAAGAAATGGCTCGATGAACGCCCTTCTTTTCTGTGCTTTCCCGTCTTTATTCGGCTACTCAGTTCCTCTATGTTCAAGACAGTAAACTGCACCCAAAATGTATCGAAAGCCGAAGCCATATTAATAAAATATGTGTTTTTTTTAATCTCCACACCGCTGACACAAAGGCAGCGCTTTTGTCTTACAGTCACTCAGCACTGATTATGACACTATTAACGTTAACTGTCAAGACAAGTACAGAGTAATAAAACGTATTAAGGAACTAAAGACATATTAACGTTACCGTTCAACGAGAAGAAGACACCATATGCGAGCGAGAAAGTCCCCTTGAACGGATGAAGGAGCCGACATTACAGTGGAAATGCAAACGAACAGGCGTTACATTTGTTCCACAGTCCAGCGGAGTCGCTTCCACAGATCGACATTAGCTTCATTTGCTAAAACTAACTGTTTCAGTTCCTTACACCTCAATAGGAGTTACAATTTACAGAGATTTACATAGGAGAGGAGGGGGGAGCATCAACTTCCCCGATAAAAACAATACTTTTCTGAAATCGACGTCAGTCTCACATTTTGTATGTATGTAAGTAATACTTGGTTATTGTCTCAGAATGGCTTCTGATCATCGTCTTTGCCAGAATAATGAAAAAGTGCGCAAACGGTTTTCACGGACATCCCTCTGACACACGAATGGACCGTTCCACTGTCAGAGCTTGGTTTAAAAGGAAAACGTATGAGCAGACTTCACACTTCAGAGGAAAAGTGTGATGGTTAGAATAGAGGAAGATGAAACGGACTGCTGCTTAAACGTCTTAGCTTTCACTCAGTCGTTTGTCATAATGTGTTTAATACATTTGTCTATCATTTATCTGTTCGCTCAGGTTTATGTTGACCGTCTCTATGAATTAAAGATGTGAAAAAAACACAGAAATGTGAAGGCCTCTCAGTGAATGATGGCTGCCATCACATCTCTTGCTTTATGTCTTTGAATAACATAAATCTTACCATTAGTGGTAGTATTAAAGTTGGCCTATTTTAAAGGTGAAATGAGCCGATTTTTGAACGTTGCTGCAAAATTCAATTAAGTTATTTCAATTTAAAGTCATCTGGTCTGGTTTGATGTGAAATGGTGTGTTGTACAGAAACTTACCAGCTCAGATTTCTTTACAGGCAGTGGTGATGATAGGAACCAAGGGTCACAATGCCTACAATGCAGACGTTGCCATTTTATTTACTGTGCTAAACAATAACTGAAGTAGTAAAATAGTGGTAAATCCCAAAACGTACATTTTCTTTGGCCACTATTTCACTATTTTTGGGCCTTACTGTGCCCTGCATGTACTGCTCCACTATGGATAGATTAAAAAAAATATATTTAAGTCCAAACGCTTATTGCAAATTTATTGTAAAACAATATCTAAGAAATCAGGCAGTGTTTCCGTAATCATTTCATGCAATAACTTTCTGTGAGGTAGCTTTTAGAGGGCATTAAACGCTTTGAACATCTAGTTCCTGTCACTATTCTGTCAGTTTCTCTAGCATGGTACATGGTACACAGCTCATTCCCCTTGAATCTAATCACGTCTGTAGATCACAAGCACACACACACAGAAATAACTCCACACAAGGTGCAGATAAACAGGTCAGAAGCCATTAATGCAGATTGCAGATAAAAAGCAGCGTACTTGACTGAGTTATAATTGCTGCACATTTTACTTGATTGGATTTTCTTTACTGATTTTAACATATCGCTGCTGTCGATTTTATATTGGACAAATAAAAATGTCCAAAATAAAACAGAGGTGAGAAATGGACATTAGACTTGTTATGATATTGTTAAGAGGAATACACATTACACAATAGTTTTTGTTAAGAGGAATACACGTTCATGTTCTTTAAAGGGACACTCCTGCCAAAATAAAAATTTAACCATCACTACTTTGGTTGCAAACATGCCTAGTCACCTTTTACAGCAGTGCCGCAGAAGTCTCTAAAGCGAGATTTACTGGTTTAAAGACTGGAAAAACCCCTTTCTGCTGATGTATCTTGAAGATGGTAGTAAAGTTTTAAAGACTACACGTGCTTTAGGGAGGGCTGAATCATTCCTTTAAGGAAAAAGTGTGATGACCAATTGAAATTAGTGCTGTATCACTAATGCTAACTAGCACCGGATCGGTGGCTAGCAGTCAGGATTTGGTAGTGATTGCCAATGATTATGACACTGTCCTTGTAATGTATTTGAACGATGCATTCTGGGTGTTGTAGTGAGAGAACACTGATGGACAAAAACACACAAAAGGAGAGAAAATCGTGAATTTTGTTTAAACCATTAGGCTGAGGGATACCACACTGCGCTGCAGAATACTACGTATCACGACTACTAGGATATTAAATGCTAGGCCACAATGCCCCTTTAATCATTTTCACAGTGGTGATGTGATTCGTAGGTAGACATTTCTAGAAACAGCATTTGTTTGAATGATGTGCTCTCAAACATCACTGAGCCTCTACAGAACATGTCTCCTTCTTAGGTAAGAGTGGTTGCCTAGCAACTAACCAGGCTTCTCCCAGAATCCTCTCCTTCTTTCAGGAAAGCGCCAGTGAGACACAGAGATATAAACCGACACCATCATAAACGTGTATAATTGTCAGCTTTCTGACAACTACTAAATGCTTGAACTGGGGTAAATTAAAAGAAGATCTTAAAGATCAGAGGCAAATACATCAACAGTGGCCTGAAATAATTCCTCTACAGAACAATGGAGCTGCACAGGCACAAGGTATCATACACAGCTCTCCCAGCAGATGGTGCTGCTGCCACTGTAATCCAGTTTCCGGGTTAGTCGGGTTAACACTGTTCACATGGGGTTGTTCATCATAATTAAATATATATAGACCACAACAAGACTTGTGGGATTAGAGCTGGCAGAAGTATAAATATTTATTAAACATTTCATGCCTTACATTTATTTTACAAAAGATTAATCCAGATCTTTTCAGGCTTGATTTGAGTTATAGATCAATGATGTAGATGAAATAGATCAGTTTCCCATCCCTGGTCCTGAAAACCCCCTGCTCTGCACATTGTGGTGTTTACAGTGGAGGAACACTGTACTGAACTGAAAGGTTCTCCAAAACCTGACCAACAAAAGAGCCTTTATGGCAGCTCTGCAATCTTCTGAGGATAGTTTCAAGACTGAGAGAACTTGTGGTACGCAGTAATAAAGAAGAACTGCTTGGGATAGAAGGGTAGACTAATCATGCCAGTAGCAAGATTTGAGGCATCTTCTCACAATTCTAAGCCAAGGAAAAAGATTTTATTATTTTCAGAAAGCATTAAGTTCCCCTGATTGTTTCCTTCTTCCTTATAAAGATTAGGAATCATAGATTTATTTATGTTTTATTCCATTTGTATTTTTTCTTTTGAATATTTGTACATTCATTGCTCTGGGAACAGTGTAACTTGTAGGAATAAAGCAGTATTGAAATCAAAGGAGGGAGAATTTGTGGTTTTAGATTGTGTTTTCTCTTTTGTTTTTCTTTTTTGGCATCCTATTTTTTTTGTTTGCTCCTCTGTTTGCTTGATTATTTGTCTTTGGTGTATTTATATGCATTGGTATTTTCTGTGCATACATATATAGATAGTAGACACCCAACACATCAACAGGTGACTTAAAAATCTCAAAATGGATTTTTACTGGGACTGCAGTTTCAGCTAATTTGGTGTATAAATCATTCTACTAGATTAGTCGAAACTGCAGTCCTAAAAAACAAACAAAAAAAAAAAAAACAGTTTAAAAAAGGAATTAAGTATTCAGGCATTAGCATTATGTTATAACTAATTTAAACCCAATGTTTTAAAAGAGATACTACTAAGCTAAAACATACAAAACAATCAGTTATAGGATCCTTTCTATTGGTAGGTGTCTGTCCCAAACCGTAAACTCAAAACCGCATGCTACTATACTAAATAGCATGCCAAAAATAGTACACCACTGTTGGAAATGCATTCATTATTGATTCAAATAACATGTATCATATGGTAATATGTGGTTTTGGAATAAGGCGGAGCATTATTTTAGCCACACCCCTGCAGAGCAGGAAGTGACATTGCATCCCTGTTCCTCATGGCCACACGGTGAGTGGTTAGATCCTGTTGTTTTGAAGTAAACGTGTCCCAAAGCCTGAAAATCAGTGTGGAACAGTAAGAATTGTCACTGCCGAAACACATATTATCTGCAATTAACTGAACATAAAAATATTATGATTTTATGTATATACAACTGTTTAAAGCTGTATTTGTGTCATGCAATGGCTAGTATTTTTGAGTTATGCTCAAAGTTAGCTATAATTGTCACTACCAAAACATTTGTTAAAGTTTTTGGGGCATTATTAGTGTGTTGGTACTGACTAAATGGCATACTCAGCCATTATTTTAAACAAAATGTGTTTTGATATCTGACTATTTAACTAATTTGGTAGAATGATTCATATATCTCCACTGTTGGGGGAAAAAACTTGTATTTCCATTTTTTTCCAAAGTTTGAGTAAGCCAGCTTCCCTTTACACTGTGTTTAAATCTCATGCTGAATGGATCAATAGAAATGGTCTAAAATTACCTGGAAAAAAATGTCATTCCATCAACTTATATTAACAGTTGAGGAGGTTTGTGAAATTAACCATTTTAGAGATGATGTAATCTAAAATATAGTAAGTGTTATGATTATAAAGCTACATTCATTTTCTGCTCATAGTACTATTGCTTTATATTTCTTATTATCTCTGAAAAGAAAAAAGAACAGGTAAGAACTGTTCACAGCTTGGCCTCTCAATAAAAAGATCATTACTGAAACCCATTCCTTTTTAAAATCCAACATCTAATATTTTTTTCATTCTTAAGTGACTTGCAATGCCATTATTTTCATTACTTTGAAATACTACCTCATTATGCTGAGATACTAAATAAAAATTTTGGGATAAAATTATATTAATTTTTGAGATGCTGAGTCATTATTTTGAGGTATTATCTCATTGAGATGCTTTTTCATTATAAACATTCGTGTTATTTTGTTAAACTTTCTTGTTATTTTGAGATGCTATCTCCTTATGTTGAGAAACCTTCTCATTGTTTGTGTTTAATATATATATATATATATATATATATTTCAAAAACATCTCAAAATAATGAGAAAGCAGTTGAAAATAACAGGAAAGCATCTCAGAAAGAGATAGTATCTCAAAATAATGTCTTAGCATCTCAGAATATTGAGATATTTCAACATATTGTCTTGGCATCTCAGTGCCAAGAGATACTCAACATCTCAAAATAATGTCTTAGGTCTCCTAATAATGAGAGAGTTTCTCAAAATAACTTAGCATTTCAAAATAATTAGACATTATCTCATTAGCATCACAGAAAGAGATATTATCTCAAAATAATGTCTTAGCATCTCAGAATGATGAGTAACTGTCTCAAAAATGTGTGTCAAAATGACTTAGCCCTTTCAGAATAATGAGACATTATCTGAAAATGATGACTTAGCATCTCAGAATATTGAGATATGTTAAAATAATGTCTTATCACCTCAGAATAATGAGATAGTATTTCCAGTTAATGGCTTTGCATCTCAGAATTATGAAATATTGCCTTAAAATAATGACTTAGCATCTCAGAATAATGAGATATGACCTCAAAATAATGACTTAGCATTTCAGAATAATGAGATATTATCTCAAAATAATGAGGTATTATCTCAAAATAATGACATAACCTCTCAGAAATAATGAGATATTATTTTGAGACAATATCTCATTATTCTGAGAGGCTATTGTCTCAAAATAATGTCTTAGTATCTCACAACAATGAGATAGTATTTCAAATTTTTTGACTTAGTATCGCAAAATAATGGTATAGCAATTTACTTAATAGCGAAAAAATAATAATTAGGTGCTGGATTTTTTATTTTGAGTGGTGGAAATGGGCTTCCATAGATTAATAAGCATAAAAAGGAGTGAATAGAATGCGAAAGAATCGGGGGAGAAAGGGGGGGAAGAAAAAGGCGATAAAAGCAAAGACAGAGAGAGCAGAAAAAGAGAAAGGCATAAAAGAGCGAAAGAGAAGAAGAAAGACAGAAAGAACGAAAAAAGAAGGGGTGTGTGTGTGAGAGAGAGAGAGAGAGAGAGAGAGAGAGAGAGAGAGAGAGAGAGAGAGAGAAGGGGGGACACGGATTTTTCTTCCTCTATGAGCTCCGCCCCCTGGGCGGCCCCGCCCCCTCTTACCTCTGGCCTATGAGAGCGCGCGTGCGGTGCGGTTGCGCCATGTTCCCGCCGCGCGCGCTGCTCTGCTGCTAAGCGCCGCTGCTGCTGCGCACGAGCGCGGAGAGAGCAACACAAGCTGCGTATGCGCGAGAGCAGACAGCGGAGCGAAACGTCGTTCAGAAGCACAGTTCGAGCGCCACACGTAGACCGCGAGGAGGGAGGAGGGGGTCGGCCTTCATCTCTTGCACGTCTCTTCTTCCTCCTCTGGTGGGGGGACCCGTCATCATCACCGTGAGGAGGAAGGGCCCCCGCCGGCCCTGTAATACGACGGCCATGTCTCGGGTTTGCAGCGCGTGAGCGAGCGCCAGCGCGTCCCTCCGCCTTCCCTCGTTCCTTCCACCTCCACCACCATCATCTCCATCCTCCTGCTCCTCCATCCTCTGGACTCTCTCGGACGTGTATATGACGGTAAGCTCAGCTCTTCTTGATTCAGCGCATTTGCATGAAGCGCAGTCTTTGATGCTTTTGCATGCACGGTGCATTTTCATTCAAGCTGCAAGGTGCACGAGCGTGCAGTAGCTGCAGCTGTATAGCTCCACTCATTCACCCTTGCCTTGCTTTTGGTACGAGCTTGTACAGTTGCACTTACCTGATTGACCCCCACCCCCATTCACACTCCCCTGCTTTCCTCTTTCTGCGTGCAGGTAATTGCCTGCACTCTTCCTTCTGCATGCATTCTTCTTTCTGGATGCATGGATTGCATTGCATTGCATGGATGCATGCATGCGTTGCCACGTCGTTGCATCTCAACAGCCTCATCCCTGCTCCTGTCAAACGGCACATTTACCCAGCCAACCGCGTTACGTAACCGTTCTTGCATGCCAGCAGAGACAGATTCTCCATAGACGTGGAGGATCTTGCTTATGGCCGCTGCCCGGTCCAGGAGGTTTGGCTTTCATTGTGTTCGGACAGCATGCATCCTTCAGCCCAAGCGATGACATCACCCCCGCTCCCCGCTCCTCCATTTGTTCACGGCTAGGTGCGCACTCTTCCTGCAGCACCTGCCCCTGGCCTGCTGTCACCTATAGCAGGAGGACTGGAGCGGACCCCCTTTTTCTTTTGCCTACATTTGGTCGGCTGATGATTCAGCCAAGGGATCATTTGGTCATTTTGGCCTCTGTTGCCATACGGCAGGCAGGACGTGGCTGGCATTGCTGCGCGATTCTGTGAAAAAAAGCCTGCTGTGATGTGTTGTGAATGGAAGAATATTGCTGACACTGGTGGCCTCTGATGGAGCAATCTAGGGGTGGGCGATATGACGGCGATATTGATATTGTTCTCACAATGAAATACGTCATAATAAGCTCTTCTGAGTGTATCGTCAGAGTTTAAAACCCACTGATGAGCTGCATGGTTCATTAAAAAGAGGGGCACCCAAGTGACGTAGCTGGTCAGTCGTGAGGTTTTGCTCCGTTGTGCAGTGATGTCCAAGTTTGAATCCGGATGATATTGCCCACCAGCATGTCCATCCTTAGCCCAAGGATTTCGTTGAACCATCCAATATTTGATATTAAGTTTCGGTCGTCAGCTGGCCAGTTTCTTTTTAAAGAGAATCTTCTGTTGGAAATAAGGTGAGCCAGTCATGTGCAGAGCTGTGCACACGTCAAAGGCTCATGTCCATTCAAAACAGCCATGACTTTATTCGTAGTTCATTCATAGTTATTCATTTTTCAGAATGAGTCGGGTGAAGAAGCCTCAGCAATTTAATATATCACGTTTTTTCAGAATTTAGTGTCCACTCTTTGCCTTTACTTGCCGTACTTTTCAGGAGACTTACGTTTAGTTTTTTTAAGAAATATGCAGGAATAGTTTTCCACATGTCAAAAGTTCAGTCACAGAAGTTGGTTGAAGTTGGTGTATTATATCAGTGCATTTAGCCTGCAAAGTGAAAGCTCCATGTAAAGAGCAAATAAACATTGTTCTTGACTCTGTTGGCTGTTACTTTCAAAAAATGTGGACTGTTAAAGATCTAGGGATGCACAATGATACTGGAATCATATTGCTATTGGCAGAAATCTGTTTTAATTAACCTTTTAACGCCATTGGGCAGATTTTTTGCTTTGCCCATTATTTCAGACCTTTACATATGTATTGTGTTCTGGAAGAGCAGAATGTTTAAGTGACGCTGGGTTGCTGCTCTAAAATGCCTGCATTTTATTCATTTTACTGCATTTTTAACCCAATACAAGCACATTTTACATTTATGTATGATGCTAGTCCAGGTGTACCTAGTCCCAGGTTTTACAGTTTATAAGTATGTATAAAGCTGCACTGACATCAGTAGACATGTACATAAAAATATCAGATATTGACTGTTGACCTCAGAATTCCCATATCGATGCATGCATATCAAAAACAACAGATTTAGCTGTGAAGAATTTGGAGTTGGTCTCAAAGTGTGCGTTCAGATTCGTATTGATATTCATTATCTATGAAGATTAGTGAACGGATATTCGGTTAACTGTGAGGAAGGAAATAAACAATGGCAAAAAAGCTGAAACGAACGTAGGCTAGGGATTCCAAATGATTGTGATAAGCGAGTAAAGGTATTAATAAATGGAAATCCAGTTTATTGCAGGGAAGAATCTACAATAAAAATAGGGAAAAATGGACTTCAGTGAAGGGCTTAGTTTTTAGATGGTAGCACTGGAGATTAAAATTTGTAAAAAAAAAAAAAATATATTTTTTATAGCTGAGGGAAATCTTGGATGAGTAATAGAAGCTGCCTCTTCAGATGAGCCAGTTGTACACTAACTGATGGAGACTTGCTGTCTTCTGCACAAGGTATATGCTCCTCATTAAATGATTTGCTAGCATTGCTTTGTCAGAGAAATATATCACTGTTGGAAGAAAACCTCACATCTCCATTTTTGATGTTTTTCAGTTTTTGACATAATTTGGTAATTTCAATTTAATCTGTTACCCTTTACATTGTATGTAAATTTCATGATGAATGGACTAAAAGAAATGGCCCAAAATTACTTGTAAAAAATTTTGGTTCCATTGACTTACATTAAAATTAAAGTATGTTTTTTCCTTCTCCTGTAAAGTTACCATTTTGGAGATACAAGGTTTTCTTCAGACAACAGTGAAATATTCATTGTATCTGGATCTAACTAATGTCAGCTAGAATAGATAACAAAAAAGCTGCCTTCTTAGTAATGTTCTTAATAAAGCTTCCTTGGCATCACGCTCACTTTCAGGAACTCATGTTTTGTAGGAGCAAAGTATGAAATATAATAATACAAAATTGCTATCACAATAAACTGTGTCTCAGTGAGCTCTTCTAAAAATACTTCCTGAGCATATCAACAATATTTAAAAACCCCTGATGAACTGCATTTTTCGTTAAAAGAGGTTTATGGGGCACTGAAGTGACGTAGCTGGTTAGTAGTGAGGTTATGCTCTGTTATGCGGTGATGGCGAGTTTTGAATCTGGATAAAATTGGCAACCATATGTTTATCCTTAGCTCTGAGATTTTAGGGAATCGACAGCATTTCATATATAAGATAAGAATTGAAATATAATATAAGAAATATAATATAAGAATTGATCATCGGTTGTCTGATTTATGTTTACTCCAGTTGATTTTTTTCTTCAGAAATAACCAGAGTCAGAAAAAATAGCAGAAAATGTATATATTAGCAGAAAGCTACAGATTCCTCAACAACTAAATATAATATTACATTTTTCAGTATTTAATGTGTTCACCCTTTGCCTTTATATTTGGGAGACCTAGGCCTACATTCAGTCTCTCAGAAAAATCTACAGTGATATTTTTTCTTACTTCCAAAGTTCAGTTTTAGAAGTTGGATTGAAGTTAGTGTTTCATATTAATGCATGTGTTTATCCCACAAAATACAAGCTTTGGGTAAAGAGCAAATAAACAGTTTTAATATCTTTGTTACCTGTTGCTTTCACAAAACTTGAGCTATTACAAGTCTATGAGCGCACAATGATATCGGAATCATATTGGTATCGATAGATAATTGTTAAAAACATTTTATCATTACATACATTTGCCTTTTATTTCAGCCCAATATTTGATGACACTTGCATTGTTTTCTGGAAGAGCAGATTGTTTAGGTAACACTGGGTTACTGTGCTGAAATGTCTGCATTTTATTCATTTTAGTGCATTTGTAATATAAGTACTGTGAAATAATGAGATATGTTACATTCCCCTATAATTCTAATCCAGGTGGATTTTGTCCCGACTTCGACATTTGGTTAGATGTGTGTGTGTATATATATATATTCATTATTCATTAAGTTTGTGCCATATATATATATATATATATATGACGCAAACTTAATGAATAGACAAAGAGTGATATCAGAGTTTTCTTCTATACTGTATTTTCGAATTCTTGAATGGTTAACCGAGTGCTTGAGTGCCGTGCACATCCCTAAATCTGTCATAAATATTCCTAATCGGTTTACCCATAGCTGTTCTTGAATTTTTCTTTAAGACAAAGCTGGCTAGAGGGTCAGATGAGGGTGGGCACATGGTACAGTCATTTGTAGTTTGTACCCCCTCCTGGGTCTCTGAGGAATGGGGTATCTGAATCTCACTGTGTGGGGTGTGGGGGGGTGTTGGGGTGAGAGCAGGGCTGTGAATGAATGTGTGTGTGTTTATTTAAGGATGGGACGATTACAGGTTTTAGTGACATACCGCAGTATAAAACAGTGGATTAAGGATGCGAATTTTGTCTAATTCAGTTGACCAAAAACTGTTATTAGTCACTGATTAATCGTCATCCAGCAAGCCTAAAATCAAGAATGTGACCCATCAAAATATCAGTTATAAAACGAATAATTCTGGTTCTGAAATCTGGTTGGTTGAGCTACATTGAAGGCCATTGTTTGACCCCTTAAATGGCCTTAAATTAAACACACTTCTAAGAATAGCTCAGCCAGTTTTCATTGAAATCCCTGTATTTACTGAACAATAAGCCTTAGTATATAATAAACCTGGGATTTTAAAGGGTTAATGCCTGATATGTGCACACTTATGAGCACACACATCAACTGAATTCTGTATTAAAGCACAGAGACATTAAAAAGTGTTCCTCCTATGGACTGTGGAGGGTAGTACTGATAGGTGGGGCCCGAGACAAGCATATATATAAGGTAAAGGGCCCTAAACCATGTTATACTCTATATAATCATAAATGTTTATTTTTTAACCATGATATGCTCATGATTGTATGACCAGAAACTAAAACCCTGATGAAATGACTGGAGTATTTAATGATGAGCTAATGAAAGCTCTGTATTTACTGTGCTAAAGTTATTTTTATCACTCAATTCTATCTCAGAATAAAGCAAACCTCAATGCCATGACTAGCTGAGCTAACTTTGGATCAGTGTACCTCAGTATCTCTCAAAAGCAGTAGCTGTCACCA